GAGGTCAGCCTCAGCAACTTAGAAAGACCCTGTCTCAAAATTAAAAAATAAAAAGGACTGGGGATGTAGTTTGGTGATAGAGTGCCCTGGGCTTAACCCCCAGTTCAGGGTGGGCGTAGGGGAGAAGAAGTTAGGGATCCGTAATGGGTGCCCTTTTGGTTCTACTTCCAGCCATGCTTGACTCTATGCTGCTTCCCTGACCCACTGAGCTTGCCTCTGCTTCAGGGCCTTTGCACTCACTGCTCCCTCTGCCTGGATCCTCTTTTCCCAGATCTCCATGTGTCTCCTCCTCCCTTCTTTTAGGTCTCTCCTCCAATCTCACTCCTCACCCACTCGCCACCCTTGTTACCCTGCCTCATTCTCCACTGCAGCACTTCCCACGACACTACTTTAAGTCACACATTTTTGCTTTCTGTCCAACCCTCTAAGGACAGGAACCTCATCTTTTTCTTTCTCCTCGGCAGTATCCCCAGTACTGAGAGCCATCCCTGGCACACAGTAAGCGCTCCTGAGATGTTTTTTGAATGCATCACTGGATGGATGGAGGAGGCACAGTGGGAGTCCTTAGAGAGACTGAAAGCATTTGACCTGTCGTCCGCGTGGGCTAAGGATGGAGAGAGGAGGTTCCCCCAGGCCCCCCTCATAACAGATAATGTGAGCTCAGGCTGCTGCCTCACTTGGCAGGCCAAGGGTGGAGAGTCACGGAGGAATCCAGGTGACCACACACAGACAGGGGCAGCCTTTGACAGCTCCAGAGCTGCCGTGGGGGGGTTCAGCCTGTGCCGTCCTCTGCTCCCACACCCTCTGTGTGCATGGGGCTCTGAGGGGCCCCAGGGAGCTCAGTCTGTAGACAATGGAGCTTCTATAACCTTCAGGAAGATTGAACTGTTTATATCCTTAAAGCAGCTTAAGACTTAAGACTTGCCTGATTCTCAGGCCAGACAGGCTGGCAATAACCAAATCCACAGGCTTGGGGAGGGGATGGGGTGGAGTGGGTGAGAGTCAGGGCTCAGGTTTCCCAGAGCACCCTCCCTCCCTCTAGCTGCCAGCCTCCAGAAGGCCCATCTCCCCAGGGGACTTCAGGACACGCGCCCACCCCAGCTAAGAAGTGGGAGCCTGCCCCAGCGTGGGTCCTGTCTCGTTCCCATCCCTCCCTGTGCTGCCCAGATCCTGTTATGATAGTACAATAAATAGAATGGAACTGAAACCAAGGTGGGGTGCTCCTTTACCGGCTGGAAGAGGAGAAGCGAATCTGTAGGCAGATTCCTCGGGCTCCCTTGGTCCCCGAGCCATGTAGGGCAGCCCTGGCCTGGGGCCCTTTCATACCAGAAGAAGGGAAGGACAGCTATTTAGGGCAGCTGCCAAGTCCCCTAGCCACCTGCCAGGGCTCCAGGCGATGTTCTCACATTGTGAAAGGCGGAGAGTCGCAGCTGTGTCCTCTCACAAAGCTCCCCTTTCTACTCTTCCCACGGCTGTGGAAGAGGGGGAAAAAAAAAAAAGAAAGTTCACATCCTACATCTCGGGCTCCACAACAGGATTTTTTTTTTTTTTTTAATCTTTCTGGAGGTCTGGGAATTTCATGATGGAGCACCAAGGTCAATCCAAACTGAAATGACAAAGTATTTGGGGGTGAAATCATGTCTATTCTTGGCTAATGTTAAAGAAATGCTTTTGCTTTTTTTTTCCCAAAATCTATCAAAAATGGTCTAAGAAAAACCCGACAGGTAAGACTCCTAGGGGAAACCTCTGAGGTGCATTCTAGCTCCTCCTGGGTTTAGTAATGAGCTTCTTCTTCTTCCGTTTCTCCAGCCATTTCTTTTTTTTTCTGTTTTCTTTTTTGGTAATCAGGGATTGAACTCAGGGGCGCTTGACTGCTGAGCGATATCCCCAGTCTTTTTCATTTTTTTTTTTTTTTTAAATTTTGAGACAGGGTCTCACCAACTCACTTAGGGCCTCTCTAAGTTGCTGGGGCTGGCTTTGAACTTGCAATCCTCCCGCCTCAGTCTCCCTCGTAGCCGGGATTACAGGCGTGGGCCTCCGCGCCCTATGGCTCTCTGATCATTTCGTTTTGGGCTGCGAGGTCGGTGGGCAGTTGGCTTCCTCCACCCGTATTCACCGTGACCCTGTGGTTCCCTCTGAGCTGTTACCTGTGCCCCTGTAAGTCTCAGGTGCATGCATGTGAAAACATCCAAACATGGATGCAGAGACAGATTCCAGGAACAAGGTGTGGCAGAACTGTAGGACCGACTACTCGGTGACAGGACCCTCCCCATGAAGCACACTGAGTTGACACGCTAGTTGGGCTACCGATGGGCGGAGAGGGGGGCTTTTTGTGGCCACGGTGCGTGTTTGCTTAATTTAGAGATGTTCTCTGTTGAGTCCATTTGGGCTGCTCTATCAGTACACCATAGGCTGGGGCTTAACAGCAACAGAAATTTATTCCTTGTGGATCTGGAGTCTGGAAGTCTTGAGATCAGGTACCAACCTGGTCAGTTCTGGTGAGGGCCTCTTCCAATTTGCGGTTGACTTCTTGTCATATCTAGATACGGCAGACTAGATCCGGCAGAAAGAGATCTAATTAGCTCTTTCCTTTTTACCCTTTGTGGTACTGGGGGTTGAACCCAAGGGTGCTGTACTACTAAACTTAAACTATCCCCAGTCTTTTTTTTTTTTTTAATTTTAAGACAGGATCTTACTAAATTGCCTAGGATGGCCTCCTACTTGCAATTCTCTAATTTCCATCTCCCAAGTTGCTAAGATTGCAGGCTAGCTCTTTCTTATCTTTTTCTTTTCCTTTTTTTAATTTTTTTTTTCTTTTTTGGTATAGAGGTGAACCCAGGGGCACTTTTACCACTGAGCTATACCCCCAGCCCTTTTTATTTTATTTGCTCAGTTGCTGAGGCTGGCCTGAAACTTGTGATCCTCCTGCCTCAGCCTCCCGAGTTGCTGGAATTTCAGGTGTGCACCATCAAGCCCAGCTAGCTCTTTCTTATCTTTTCTTTAAGGTTGCTATTCCAAGGACCCTCCTTTCGTCATCTAATCACCTCCTGAAGGCCCCACATTCTTATATCATCACCTTGTGGCATAGGGTTTCCACATGTGAATTTTTTTTTGGAGGGACTCAAACCTTTAGTCTGTAACACCATCATCCATGGTGAAGCTGCACATTGGTGGTGGCCGGCTGTGGGTGAAAGGCTTGACTGACAACCTTTTCTCAATGCACTTGACTCTCCTTGTGCCATGTGGATTTTGTGTTTCACTTGATTTCTTTCTCAGCGATTGCAGGCATCATGTAAATCAAGACGTTTTGACGGTACAGTGACGGATGACTGGGGATTTCTTAAGAAAAAATATGGTTGGTTATGTTGGTTCTATATATGTTCCCTGTAGAAATGCTGGTATTTAGGAAAGAATAAAGAAGACAATCAGTTATCCACAGCACCCTGAAGCTCCTCCTCACCTTGTTATTTTTTTAAAATTTTATTTATTTATTTATTTTTTTAAAGAGAGAGTGTGTGAGAGAGAGAGAGGGAGAGAGAGAGAGAGAGAATTTTTAATATTTATTTTTTAGTTCTCGG